ACTTCTTTCTATTGTAAGTTCTGTTGGATATATTAAGTTTAGTGTAAAATTCATATTATTTATAGATATTAAATCATCTGTGTAATGGAAGTGTAAATGTATAAATTAGGATTTAAACTCTGCTTCATAAATGAGTTTTCATAAAAGAAAAGATACAGGTTGGTCATATTTGAAGAAAAGTTCGTTCCCATTAGAATACCCACCATTTCCTTATATACTTGTTTCTTTAAAACAATATAACTGTTATAAATACAGAAATGGAGTACATTTTAAAAATTAATTTTAGTGAATTTAAATTTGGGTATATTTCTTTCTTTATTTATACTAAAGTTGTCAAACAAATCATTGAAACCCTGATTAAATCTTTGAGGTGTATTTTAGTATATAATTTAGTAAAGTCATATATAAAAATAGAACTGGCAGTTTTTGATAAATTTAAATTATTTAAACATTCCAAAACTGGAATGTTGTTTTTAATAATCCAAAAATAATTATTCTGGTTATTTGAGGGTGTATTTTTATTTTTTCAAACAAGACATCTAGAATATTGTTAAGTACTATGGAAACAGATTTAATGACTGTATTTAAAGAATTAGTAATAAATCTGAATTTGACAGTTTTTTTTTCAATATTGGAATTGCATATAAAAATGGTAAATTTGTACAAGAATAATCTGTATGGATATTCCATTTTTTAATAGCCTTCTTCAAATTAGTAATAACATTGCACACAAAACCAAAATTACAGCCAGTTTTATCAATCAAGGTAATAACGAATTGTTTTTAATTTCTTTTATTATTATTATTGTGAAAATAAGCATTAAGGAGATTTTGTTAGAATTCCCATTGTCAGACCTAGTTGTCATCATAGTCATTGCAGATAGTGCCAGTGGAATCAAGATTTAGGTTGAATTGACCGAGTCTGTAGCGAGAGAGTTAATAATATAACAGTGTCTCTTATAAAATGAAAGCTAAAGTATAAAACAGTATATCACATAATGATTGCAATGAATATTAATGATGACAACATTAAACAATATTTTATGATAAACTTTCAATAATTCATGCAACTACATTAGATATTATCCATGAAATGTAAACCAATTATTATTATTATTCACAATATCAGTGTTAGTTTGCTCTTATAAAAATTGTGCAGTTGAAATCACTTTGTAACCAATAATCGGATCTTAAAAATACTGATATATTTGATGAAAATATTGGTTTAGTATCAAGTGTATCATTAAAGAGAGTCACTCGTATAGGCCCATAATTCCAACTTTATAATGTTTTTTTTGTTGGCCATTCAACTAGTGTGTTTTAACAAGTAAGCTGTTTTGTACCCTGTGTTTCACAAAAAGATAAATGGGATTTTTCATTATAGTGAAATACATTTTACCAGCAGAAAACAATATTGTATCTTTGTATTACACAGGTTGAGGAAGGAGTCATTTCCTGCAAGTCTGTTCTTGTACATACAGGTGTCTACAACCAAGACTTTGATGAAGGAGATTTTGATCACTCGCCACGGGACTTCCTACCAGCAGAAGCGGCTCTGAAGGAACCTACTTATAAAGTAGAAGATGTTCTGAGTGCTGTTAATCTCATATTTAATGAGGAGAATTTCTCATGATGTTTATTCCTTATTAGCTTAGTCTGAAATTTTATTCCCTATCCATTCCATGTGTGAAAAATAATAGTTTTCTTAGATGCGTGACTATAACCAGCTTCAGCATGTTAGTAATAGTTAATTTACGTCTCCAGGTTTTTTCCTTATTTCTAAATTGAAAGTTCGTCAAAGTTTTCAAAAGTACTGACAATAAGTAGCTGTATTAAAATTATGTAGGTAGCTAGGAATGACAGGAAGATATGGGTACCTCTATATTTGTAAAACCTTCTTGTAAATTGGAAAATATGTTAAATATTGGCTGTTATACGCACTTCGTTTAGCCAGTAATCATTGGAGAAGAGTTAAGATACTTTCTGTATTTAATAATAATATAAAAACTGGAGGTGTATTTTAGTATCTATACTTAAACTGTACAGTAAATGAAAAATTGTGTATTGTTTGTGTTCAACACAGGAAAGAAACTCTGGTTTTATTATATATCTTTCAATAACCTGTACATCTTAGATTAGAGTTAAGACATCCTGTATTTGTGTTCAACACAGGAGAGAAATTTTCAATTTTATTATGTACCTTTCAATAATCTGTACATCTTAGATTAGAGTTAAGACATCCTGTATTTGTGTTCAACACAGGAGAGAAATTCTTCAGTTTTATTATGTACCTTTCAATAATCTGTACATCTTAGATTAGAGTTAAGACATCCTGTATTTGTGTTCAACACAGGAGAGAAATTTTCAGTTTTATTATGTACCTTTCAATAATCTGTACATCTTAGATTAGAGTTAAGACATTGCAAATATCTGTGTTTGTTAAAGTGGAGAAAAGTCTATGCATACATGTGAATCAAAATATATGAGTAATAATGCATTCTTACAAACTGTCGATAGAGCTTTAATGATACAACTAGTTAGACCTCTAAATCTTCTATCTATATTAAATCCAAGTCTAAACCATTGCTTGTCAGAAGTCTGTGTGTGTGTGTGTGCTTATAATTGGCAAACTGCTGGACCAATTATCATCAAACCTAGCATGTACTATTAGGGCCCCCAGAGGAATGACATAGGGAGAATCAAAGTTCTTGATCTGCATCTCATCCCAAATACTCCCTGGGGATCCCAGTGTCCTCCCTGTTCATCCAACGGGTATGTTATTAATAATTCTCAAAGAACTGTTTACAGTCATGATCAGGATTGTAGTGTACAGTGTACATTTTTATATTTCTCTTGTACAGCATGTGTATGCTTTTTGTTGTTGTTTTCCAACATTTAGAACATGCTTCTGGTATCTGTTAGGACATTTTTTTCCAAACTGGAAGAAACAGAACAGTTGGAAATGATTATAATATACTTAACAAAACTATCACTTTGCTCTCAAAACTCATTCCTAACCAAATTTTTCATTAATTTTTTTTTTAAACAGCTAAAGAAAATGTTGATTTTGCAGTTATCACTAACAAAAAATTAGGAAACTTTGCTGAGTTAGGGGGTGCTGCTATTTAAATTTGGAAAACACTGTGTTAGGTTGATTTGGGAATATTGTGATAATCCTTATAATAATTGGCCAATGATGATGTAAAATATTAAACTAAATTCTCATAAAAAAGTCTGTAGTTATAAGAAAGTAATATTGAAACATCAACCACTTTTTCCAATATTTAGGAATAGGTTGAATTTTGACTTAACAAAAAAAAAGTATGGTACTGTATGAAAGAATTTATTTCAATATTCCTTACGTTTTCAAGTTGCAAGAATTCATACAAACTTGAAGTTTCTGTGTTTAGCTGAAAGTTGTAATTAATTATTTTTGTGCGTCATGATTAGAAGATAATGAATTTTCTTTCTGTGTCTTTCACAGTGCAAACAGAACACCGTACAATATGGTACCCTCGGGTTACATTATCTAGAAGCTTGCAAATAGATGGTTAGATCATAATCACTTCAAATAATTGATTGAAAATTAGTTGAAATAATGAATAATTAGCTGTATAATAAACATTGTTGTGTTATCTGGGTAATTTATACTAGACACTGAATTTTGAAACTATCCTTACAACTTTCAGTGCTAGCAGCATACTGTATGGTATGGAAAAAGTACTGTACAAATTTAGATTGTTGAATCCTTTTATAAACTCGACAAATACAAGGAATCCTTCTTTTTGCCATTATAAAGTGGAATAGGTGATCCTCTCTCTTCTGTACAACAGTCTGCATTTGAAGTAAATTTTCTTGCATAAAGCTCAAATTCTTTAAGTAAATTCGTAGGGACCAAAGCTCAAGTATTGTATAATTCTGGGTCAGAGCTCCTATATCAAATATTTTGTTTTTCATTCAACACCTGTGATAGTCTAGGAGGAGTAAGCTGGGTTTCAGACTTTGTTCAAACCCTTTGAGGAAGAAGTCTGATTTGATATTCTAGAAGGGATGAACATTTTAAGATATTTTGGCTGCAGTTTTTTTCTGTGAGCCTACAAAATATACATCTCTCAAAAACCACAAAAATCATGATGATTTTCATTATATCATGTAAGTGTAGTTTCATTCAGTAATGTCCAATCATAAGCTATGTAACATACAATTCTCTGTTTAACACAAGAACATCCACAAAGCTTTTAAAATATTTACTAAACCCTGTAAGAATGTACATGTATGCTGTTAAACAGGCATTGCAAGAAAGCAGACTGCCAACTAACACAAAGCAAATGTCAAACACGCTACATTTAAGTTTGAACAAAATACTTCTGTTTAGAAATGTTAACAATTCTGTATATACTCTGCTATTACTTATTACTTTAGTTTAATACAATATGTTTAGGAAAGGCTATTGTACACTCGTTTACTGTAACTAAAAGTATAATAGCACTCATTTGCAAAGTACACTTGATATATGTATATGTACTACAAAAAATCGAGCATAAGCAGGACATAATAAACGTGATGAAACTAATGTACATTAGTATGCATTTATTAGAAAACCTCAAATGTCATTTTGTAAGCTTTACACACAAAATAGTCATTGATATGCTATATAAATTAACTTTAATTAGTACAAATTTACCTTACAGGAAACTTTTTAAAAATCAATACACAAGTAATATCTTTAAACTTCTATAATGCTAGTAATGTGGCTATCTTTGACATCACTAGCAATTTGGCATCTTTATGGCATTGTATTTCTGTATTTTCTCAAAGTCTCTGGTGTACTTTGATTCAGTTTTTCTTCAAGTTGTGTCCAGAGGCTTACTTTAGTACGGTTGATACTTTTATCAAGGATAGAGTCCAGCAAATCCCAGATTTGTTCTATGAGATTAAGATCTGGACTTTGTGGCAGCCATTCCATTCCCTGGATATTTCCTGAGTTTTCTTTCTTTGCCAAATAAGCATGTAATTTCTTAGGTTCATTATCTCCTAGAAAGATGAAATTCTGCCCGGTCAGTTTCTTTCCATAATTTACTCAGTTTTGTGACGATGGTCAACACTATCAGTAGATATGATGAACCAAACCATCATAGAGCCTCTTGCATGCTGAAGCATTGGCATTCCTTCTACAGTTTCTCTTTGGTGAACATATGTACATTGGTTGGAACCATACAGTTATAATTTAGTCACATGTCCAATTTACCTTGTGCCACTGTTTCAAAGACTAGAATACATATTCTTTCTCATAAGCTAGTCTCTTTGTGCACTAAATGCTCTCTTGATGCTACTCTTTCTCAAAGGCTACATCTTTACAACATTTTTGAAACTTTTATCTGTGCATGACCTGCTAACCTCGTTGTGAAGGTTTTTCTAGTTTTCTTTTGCTTTTTCAGGGAATTGAATCTTAGATATTTGACATATGTCTTATGTCATAGGAACAGTTATCCTTCTAAACGTATCCCTTGGTGGGACAGCTGCAAGGCAAATCTCTGGATTTACAATGTTAAAATCAGGGGTTCGATTCCCCTTGGAGGACACAGCAGATAGCCCGATGTGGCTTTGCTATAACAAAACACACCTTCTAAATGTCCTGTGTGTAGTTAACAGTACTTGACGAACAGCCAAGGTCTTTTTCAATTGTTCTTAAATTCAAACTAACATCATTTAAAGATATGACTTTGACTCTGATAAAGGGTGTTAGTTCTCTGTTTTGGCATTTTAATGGCAACACCACAGTAAATTATCTGTGGTGGACAATGTTTTTGAAAAAGAAAAAAAATCTCTTCTGTACCTGTATGAAAAATGTAGAGTGTGAAAATCTCGTATTTCTACCAGTGACTGGTTGAAAAACAGAAGGCAATCGAATGTGACAATGTTGCATCATTTTGTATTTGGATTAGACATCTTAACTTTTAAATCATTTACTGCATTTAATCACTTACAGCTATGTGTTACTTTTCTCTTACAGTTTTAATTAAATGTATAACGTACAAGTCATGGATTAAGTAAGAAAATCAATAATTTGCCAATTTTGATGGCTTTTCCTACATTTTAAATAACAATTTTTATATTTCACAGGCAAAACAAATTTAAACTACAGAGCAATAAGGAGTTCTAATATATTTCCACACAACAGTATTTCAGTTAAATTCAAATGCAACATAGTGTAACACATACGTGCAACAGTAATAATGTATTTTTCTTGTGGCCATTTATACTTGCATGGTAAGTTCTAGATCAACAAGACAGCTTTTAACTATTATGATACACAATAACATGTACTTCAGTATAAAATTTTGTACTTCTTGACCATAAAATGTTTCTATTCTAATGCAGACATCAGCATTTAGCTTGAGCAGATAAAAATGAGAATCCCCAGTGCCACAACATTGCTCAGTTAAGTCCGGAGATGACTGTTCACAGTCAGCTTCTAGTGTATTAGATAGTAGGTTATTTAAAATGGTATTCAGTGTATTTTTAATCCAAATGTTGATTATTCTGGTGTTCTGCTCATAGTATACAATGTGTCAGAAACTAAGTTGCTCATACTTGTATGTAGCTGCTTTTACTTTGGGAATGTGACCCACTGCTATAAATTAACAATGTAACAAGTTTGTTGACTCTGCATATGAACGTGTTAAAATGAGAAGTTAAGTGAAATTAGCTTAAGCCTTTTACTATAAAAATATTGTTTCTTATTCTGCTACTTGGTTATTGATTAAAATTATTGTAAATCACAATTTACCTATACTTAGAAATGTTTCCTATGTTTGCAAGTGACATTGCATGGTGGAAACGGATTGAGCATATAATATTTTCATTCACAGCATCTGACTGGTTCATAACGCTAATAGTCTTCTAACTCTTCACAAGTGAAAGATATCAATGGAATATTTAGTGCTGAAAATTTGAAATTGTAATATATTTATGATTTTATGGTTAATACGAAAATGGTTAGTAATTTGGATCTTGCATCAATACATTTTGGCTAGGAGTATATGACACTCTGAAAAAAATTCTGTATTTTGTACTTTACAACATACATGGAAAGGTTTAGGTAGGTTCTATCTAACAGTAAATCCAGTTTGATTTTTTTTCCTTAAAATGTATTGAATGAACCACAAAAGGTGAGGTTTTTTAATAATCTCCTAGGTTAAGGAAACATTATTACTGAATTCGGTGGTTTAGGTACCAGATATTTGTGTTTATGCAATGCATCAACTAGAATAAATAAATATTTTTCAATTTGTTATAAAACACTTAAAAAATCATTTCTGTAGTTAAATAAGGCAAAGTTAATAATAACATAATTATAAACAGTGTATTTTGAGAGAAATTAAACATTTTAATTTATGTCTTTATTACATAACTATATATTTTCCTCCTCGTATAGTGGGTGAGACATTGGCTGGTGACTAGAATTGTGAACTATGGACTTGAGGGTCCATGGTTCTCATAGCGTTGCCATAAAAATACGATTGGGCTCCATATGTTAGAACTGTAGGTGTGTTATAGGAGTGAAGGTCAAATCCCACTATTCAATTAGAGTAGCCCAAGATTTGACAATAGGTACCATTGACCTCTAGTTTATCAGTTCAAAAGTAAAGTTTGCTCGTGCAGATAGTCATTGTGCAAATATTCTAAACTAAGAAAACTGTGTATATTTAATTTTTTCCATGCCCACATATACCTTTTTTTCAACATTGATTGAATTACCGATAACTGTTCAACAAATGAAGCACCAATAGAAGATGTTCTCCCTTAGCCTTGTGAAGACTAATGTTCTCAAGTAAAACTCATCTGTTTGTTCTGTACTGTTAATAACGTAACAATGGATAACTTTGAAATGAAGAAGGGAATTGTGATAATATAGTTGTTGTTTTTTTATTCATTATGTTGAAATTTTTAAAACCATCAGTTAAGTTTTTTGTTTTTGAAATGTTATTGAAATATTACATTTACTGCTGTCATCATACATTAATGAAAATAAATATTAAGTATTACTAAATACTAATTTCATACCATTCCCAAACTTTGTGTGCTTATCTCTTGATGAGGTAGACTGGTACACATTATTTTGAGTAGGGTGATAAAATGGGCTCTTAAAGATTTGAATTGAATACTTAAAATTAGTATGTTTACAATTATACAGTATCATTCCCGAAGTGTATGAGTCAAATCATAGTTTTCTTGATTTATTTCAAAATATAAGATGGAATAATTTATCTTGATTATACATTGGGGCCCCACTGTAACATGGTCCACAGTGTCCATGTCATAAGACTGCAGTATAACTAGGCCATTTCAAAACCACTAAGCCAATTGTAGAACAATGGATAAAATGATTAAAAAGGCCTCATAAACAGATAAGTCTGAATGAAAATTTTGGGGTCCAAAGGTGGAATAATTTATCTTGATTATACATTGGGGCCCCACTGTAACATGGTCCACAGTGTCCATGTCATAAGACTGCAGTATAACTAGGCCCTTTCAAAACCACCAAGCCAATTGTAGAACAACGGATAAAATGATTAAAAAGGCCTCATAAACAGATAAGTCTGAATGAAAATTTTGGGGTCCAAGATGGATCCGTACGTTACGATGAGTTTTCCACAATAGCGGACTGTATTATAACAGGTCCCCAGTGTACATTTAAATATTTTTCCGCTAAAGAGAAGTATAAACTTGAAGATTTTGACTGCTAGCAAAGCGAAAGCGGTTTATCTTAATAATGGTTTTATTTTCATAAACTTTTTCAAGGTGACTACCTAATATGTAGCTGTATTTAATGAACATTATTATAAAATGGAACAAAAGTCTTGATTGGAAGTTTTAATGTGTAACATTTTTAGAAGTTAGGAATTGATTTGTTTGTGTTCAGGATGATGATGGTGACTGTAAAATGAAAAGTACAAGTAATATTGTACGACATTATGATAGGATTGTTTTGCATCTAGAGAAGGTGAATTATATATCTAACTGTAAATAAAAACTTGTTTCTTGATATTAGTGATACTTATTTATTGTGGGGATTACATGTTGGATAGTTTTCCTATTTTTCTTTAAAATACCATAAATATTATGCAAATACATATTTCTTATACATAATAAACAATTTACAGAATTTAGTTTTGTATTTTTTCTGTCACTTCAACACAGTTTAATCTCATATGTCATCGTATGCGTATGGTAATTCCAAAATATATATTTATATATGCTAGCAGAAATGCTACCCAATGGGTGGCTGTTTGGTCTTACCAGGCTGAACAGTATGCTTCTGTATTTTGGGGTTGTTCCTTTTTCTCACTGGATTTTACCTCATAACTTGGTGAGTAAGCCTATCTCTTTTTTTTTCTCTAACTTGCATCCAGACGTTTCATTTTTTTTCTCGCAAAGTTCCAGTCTTTCTCCATGATAAGCTACTCTTTCGTTTGACAATTTTTTGGCATTGTGATTTTTGATCATTTTAAACTCATACTGAAGTTGAAAAATACTTATAATAAAAAGAAGAACAATAATAGTTACAATAATGTACATTACTTAGATCTAGATATAAATTTCATGAAAGCCAAGAGTACATTGACTAGTTTTGATAAAAAAAAGGGATTTTGGTTTTCCCATCCTTGGTCTACCCACCGTAAATAATGTAGTTCCATTAAAAGGTACTATTATTTCTCAATTAAAAAGATATTTGACAATTTGTAACAATAGTAATTCGTTTATGGATAATGTCCAATTATTGACAAATAAAAAAAAAAATAATGGTTATAAAGATTGGCAAATAAAAACGATTTCACACTCTCATAATAAGTACAAGAATATATGATAAAAAAATACCCTGGATTACTGAAAATACCTTTTGGAGAACATAAATAGGTTGTTAGTTACTCAAGGTCATCCTTATTTTATAAGTAACTAACCATAAGATATTAAGGTACTTCTTCAGTATACCTGTATGGAAAGACCAACTTCAGGTAATGTGTCTCAGCTCAGGATAGGACTTTAAGAACTAATAAAGTAAGGGTTATTAGTTCTATTTAACATAACTTTGTGATAAGTATTAAGAAGGGTGAAGGTTGGGAGTTTTACAAATGTAGAAATTTCTATTATAAGGTTATTTTTATATCTAAATATTAAGAGAGACTGCCTTTGTACAGCTGGGTGCAGATAGTGAAAGGCAGTAGGAGTTGAGCCATTGTGGATTCAAGCACTCAACTCCTAACACTTAACTGATTCTACATAGCTGCTCACTAGTTTGACATCTGTGTTTGGATCATGTCTGATAGATGGAATATTCCTAACATGGTTGGAAGCTATGACTGCAGACATTTTCCATTATGAGTTTACGATGATGACAAGGACTGGTAAAGAAAAACATTTTTTGTTTAGTCTCATTGTGAATGTTTTTATTTGTATTAATTTCATTATTCTTATATTGTACTGCTTTAATTGCCTATTTACAATTAATGTATCTTATAGTATTAGAATTATTTATATATATGTAAAACTAAAGTAGTAGACTGTAAGAAAACAAAGATTTGCTATTTAAAGTTCCATATGTTATTATTTATATCATGATCACTTTTACTGTTGAAATATTTTTTGGAGCAACTATAATTTTAATGTTTAATCCCATAGAAATAGACCACCTTGGAATTAAATATTAACTAGCTAGGCTTTTACCCAATTTATCTAAACAGTAGTTTAAAAAATTTATAAAAGCTTAGATGAAATATTTCATTATTTGTCATCCATATAAAAGGTAGTCGGACATTGTCCTATTGCACATTCACTAACAAAAGCACAGCCTGTGTACCTGATTAATAAGATAAGAAACTGATATTTCCTAATATCTATTCAAAATGTCTTGAGAAGATATGTTAATTAAATATAATTTGCTTAATAAACAGTAGATTTATCCTTGCACTTGTGTCTTTTAAGGTAACAGAAAAGCATTAAATGGGGAAAATATTTGAGACTATCAACCTTAAAATAAAAAAAAACAACTATAAATCATAGTAAAATTAGTTTTACTTTTGAGAAGAAAAATAAATAATAGACTTATAGTGATAATATTCAGATCTGGTCTCACTGGCTTACGTGGTTTTTGTGTTCTAGAGAAATACCAAAGACTCAAAATTTCAATAACATGACCAGAATCTGGCAATATTGATTTTTTTGTGGGATTTTTATTTCTTGTTTGTGAATACAGAGTAATAGTGAAAAAAAAATCACCATGACATTGTTGTCTTGCATTAGAGAGAATGTAGAAAGTGAAGAGACCAGTCTCCATTTGATGAAACATCCTTTGGACAAAATATATTTTTAATGTTGGAAAAGGAAGTCATTTAACAGATACCACAGGTTGGTTTGTGGATAATGTTAGTCAGTTTTAGAAGTTTCATGTGTTGAATTGACACGTAGATTTCATGTTTGAAGTTTTATATTATGTGTGTTAATGGGACCTTCATGTGAGTGAAGTATTGAATGATTTCCTATGACTTGGTCCTGCTTTCTGTTTGGTTTGTAGGACAATGTTTTGAACTCTGTGCTGAGTTCTACATCAGGTCTGAGGGATTTATTAGGAAGGATTCTGTACATGTGAACAGTAAAACACACCTGAGAGTAAGCTCAACAGAATAATAATGTATTCTCATATCATATTACATGATATGATAAATCATTTTGGTGATGTCTCTTAAGAAAGATGTATCAAGAAACTGAATAGTCTTAGAGTTACTGTATCTTTTGCCAAAAGCAATGTTTACACCATTGACAGTGTGTAAAGCTTTACTGAATCTTGTATTGATATGGATTGCTGCTAACTGCTAGAAAAGAATGCATCACATCAATTATGATGACAATGAAGGAAGCAGAAAGTTTGTGACATAATGTGCAAGATAGGCAGATAAATCTTGATGTCAGACTATGAGTACTACCAGTTACCTAATGCCACCTTTGTCATCTTGCCACACAACCAGAATACCCATCAAGAACTTCTTAGAACACTTCAATTCACAAAGTGCCAACATTAAGTTCACAGCTAGAATAACAAAACCAACAATCAATTCTGGATGTACTACTGCATTACCACGGCTACCACCCTTTGACTGAAGTCTATAGGAAATCCACCCACATCCTTCATTACTAACATTACAGATCCAATCATCCACAGTTAATCAAATGTGGATCATCAAAATAGAGCATAACAAATTTAAGACCCACAATACATGCAACAAGAAGTCTTGATAGAAATGAATAAAAAACCTATAACCCGAGTGCTTTCAAAAAATGGACCTTTCTTCTTCAGGGGCAAACAAACCACGATTTTATTCTCATTTGTATAAGGTCTCGGCTGCAAGCTTAGGAGAATTTGCGAGAATTTAATATTAATTTAAAATCAGCAAAACACTACATTTTTACACTCCTACAATATTGTTTTAATATATATATAGAAGATTGTGCTTTAGGTGTGGTGATACTTAACTGAGATTTTTGTACCTGTTTTCAAGCACATCTATCAAAAGTTTGGAGACGGCTTGAATGGATAATGAAGAAAACTTTATTATAAATGTACAACGTTTCTAAAAAAATGTTATTATATCGTCGTCATTTTTGTGTTGGGAAATGCTACTTATCGGGAAGCACGAATTTTAAGGTTTTTTTTTTATGTTGTTATCTCTGTTGAACATCAAGTCTTTCCTCTAGTCGTCGTCGAAATGAAATGATCTTGAATTCTTTCCTGTTCTTGGATCCATCTCTTTAAGAAAACTATTCTTCAAATTTTTCATTCATAGAGTTCAAATATTCACCAATAATTTCAACCGAATTTTTCACACCTAATAAGTTCTTTGTCATTATTGAATGTTTCTAAAAGTACTGGAAACGTCATAACACAGTTTGGAAAACATGTTCACCATACGCCCAACTTGTTTCTGAATGCAAAAAAGAAGATGCTAGCCACATATGCCAACTTCACAAGCCAGTCCATACCTCTGAAATAATCTATCCAATCAAACTAGAAATAAACGACTTTATAACACCAAAATGTTGTTTTTCTTTAATAGACACTCAACGTTTCGCTTTACAGCTTCTTCAGGAGCGTTCACTAAAACACAAACCGAAACTGACAGTACATAGCTTCAAATATTTGTTATAAGATTGTATAATTCGATAGTGTAACGTGAGCTGCACGTTCCCAGAGTGATTTACAACTTATAATGGCGCGAATAGTAGGAAGACACGATTCAAAGGGCAATAAAACAATAAAATTTAATTATAAGTAGATGTATAAAGTTACGAATTTAGAGGTACTTAGGATAATCTAAT